CAAGTGCAAAATGCCGATTAAGAAATCCGATTTCAAACATTGAGTCAATGAAATGACCGAAATTACTTCTGTAAAAAAATAAAATTTGTCCTAAATCCCAATTACTTGTTTAGGACAAATAGTTTCATCTTAGGACATGACTGGCAAATATGACCGTTTCCGGACCCTTGGGCAATTACCCCCAAACTCAAACCCAGCTTTCCTTTTATGATATGGAACCTTGTAGTGCAATTTCATAAAGATCCATACACTTACACACAAGTTATTATCATGAAACTAGAAAAATGCTTGTTTTTTGCCCCTTTTTTGGTCTCTAATTCCTAAAATTTGAAGCAATTACCCCCAAAATCAATCCCAGCATTCACTTTGTGATATGGAACCTTGTGGTACAATGTCAGAGAGATCCATACACTAACACACAAGTTATGTCTGGAAGTTACAAAAATGCTTATTTGGCCCCTTTTTGGCCCCTAATTCCTTAACTGTTGGTACCATAACCCCCAAAATCAATCCCAACCTTCCTTTTCTGGTATTGAACCTTATGGTAAAATTTCATAGAGATCCATTCACTTAAACTAAAGTTAGAGTGCGAAAACCAATGTGTCTTCGGACGACGACGACGACTACGCCAACGTCATACCAATAAACGACCACAAAATTTGTTTGCGGTCGTATAAAAACTTAACATTGACCAATGAACAAGGCTTCCAAAACGGTCATATATTCCGGACATTTGTATAATGTCTGGTAAAAGTCTGGCTGGGCAAAGCACGAAACGTTCATCTACTTTTTAGATTTCAAGGCTTTCTTAAGAGACGGTCATTTTATCATAATTCGCTATCTTTTTGACCCAACCTTTTGCCTTTAACAGCCACACATTTCCAGTCATAAAAGTGACATGATCATTAAGTACTATCAAAACAACCCCTACTTTAATACCTTCTCATTTTTATCAAGGCTAATTAGTTGTGGAACAGCTGAAATTTACCTGTTCAGGTGACAGGTAAACTATTTTGAACCAGACATTGATCGGTCTATTCAAAGTTATTTTCTTACATTTCACTGGTTTGCATCTAATTAATTTAGTCAAAAAGATTTAAATTATCAGAAATACATTTACAAATAAGATTTGATGTGAAAATGAAAAATCGTCATAACCACGTTGTTTGAACCAGAGACATGTCTCTGTTTGAACTAGTACACGTGTGTGCATGTGCATGTGCGCAGGTGTGAAATTTAATTATGCATCCTAATTTCTTTAAAAAATGCTTAAATTGTCATTGATACCCTTATCTCACGTTTATTTCGAATATTTCCTTAAAGAAATAACGTAGAATGAGCTACTTTCACTCATTCATGTTTTGCAAACGTACACGGAATTTACGTATCCGTCTCTGGTCCATGTTTTATCATTCTCAAGATAACATCCGGTTTCAGATTTAATAAAATGCTTCGCTGGGGCGCAGCTTGATACGACCGCAGAGGTCGAACCCTGAACAGTTGGGGCAAGTATGGACATAACATTCAAGCTTGATACAGCTCTGAATTTGGATTGTTATTAAATATTTGACACAGCATAGGTTTCTGACACAGAAAGAATGTGGTCTAAGAACTTGATTTTTTTTAATTTACCTATTATGGTCCAATGTCCAAAATCAAAATACATGGTTAGATTCAGCATATCAAAGAACCTCATATATTCAATTTTTGTTAAAATCAAACAAAGTTTAATTTTGGACCCCAACTTGGACAAACTTGAAAACTGGGCCCATAATCAAAAATCTAAACACATGTTTAGATTCAGCATATCAAAGAACCCCAAGAATTCAATTTTTGCTAAAATCAAACTAAGTTTAATTTTGGACCCTTTGGACCTCAATGAAGACCAATTTAAAAAAAGGGACCCAAATTAAAAATCTAAAAAAATGGTCAGATTTGGCATATCAAAGAACCCCAATAATTCAATTTTTGATGAAATCAAACAAAGTTAAATTTTGGACCCTTTTGACCTCAATATGAACCAATTTGATAGCGGGGCCCACAAATAAAAAATCTAAATACATGGTTAGATTCAGCATATCAAAGAACCTCATATATTCAATTTTTGTTGAATTCAAACAAAGTTTAATTTTGGACCCCAATTTGGACCAACTTGAAAACTGGGCCCATAATCAAAAATCTAAATACATGTTTAGATTCAGCATATCAAAGAACCCCATATATTCAATTTTTGTTGAAATCTAACAAAGTTTAATTTGGGGCCCCAACTTGGACCAACTTGAAAACTGGGCCCATAATCAAAAATCTAAACACATATGTTTAGATTCGGCATATCAAAGAACCCCAAGAATTCAATTTTTGTTAAAATCAAACTAAGTTTAATTTTGGACCCTTTGGACCTTAATGTAGACCAATTTAAAAAACAGGACCCAAAATTAAAAATCTAAATACACGGTTAGATTTGGAATATCAAAGAACCCCAATAATTCAATTTTTGATGAAATCAAACAAAGTTTAATTTTGGACCCTTTTGACCTCAATATGAACCAATTTGATAACGGGGTCCATAAATAAAAAATCTAAATACATGGTTAGATTCAGCATATCAAAGAACCCCATATATTCAATTTTTGTTGAAATCAAACAAAGTTTAATTTTGGACCCCAATTTGGACCAACTTGAAAACTGGGCCAAAAATCAAAAATCTAAATACATGTTTAGATTCAGCATATCAAAGACCCTCGTATATTCAATTTTTGCTAAAATCAAACAAAGTTTAATTTTGGACCCTTTGGACCTTAATGTAGACCAATTTGAAAACTGGACCCAAAATTAGAAATCTAAATACACTGTTAGATTCGGCATAACAAATAAATAAATGTGATCAAAGATTTTACAAATCTAATGCGCCATACTGTGCAATTAAAGATTACTTCTTGAAATTTTTCAATATTTGAAATTTGAAAAAAAAATAATATTTGAAGAATAATTCTTTTTAATTTCTGAAATCTGAAATGAGAAAAAATTGACCCCCCACAATTTCTTTTTACCCCCCCCCCTTTTTTCCCCCCAAACCATAATTACCCATTTAAATTTACCATAGTGCTAACTTAATCTATTTTATAATAGAATTTAAAATATAGTGTCAAATCTTTCATATGGATTTTTTTGTAAAAAAAAAAGATGCAACATTTGCAGATATTTTTACTGGTCTTCCTTTATAAATATGCATTTCTTTAAACATAATTTAAAAGCAGTGTAAGGGAAGTAACCAAAACGTTGTATTTGGATTACCTCTCTTACACTGTTTTAAATTATCTTAATTGTTTATTAACCATTACTTTATACATAATTTAAAAGCAGTGTAAGGGAGATAATTTCAATGATGTATTTGATTTATCTCCCTTACACTGCTTTAAATTATGTTTTGTACTAAAGTATTTGTCCATTAACCAGGACAACCTTGTTCTTCCCCTTTTTGCCCCTAATTCTTAAACGGTTTGAGCCATAACCCCCCAAAGCAAATCCTAACCATCCCTTTGTGGTATGGAAACTTGTAGTACAATTTCAGAGAGATCCATACACCGTTCCACAGTTATTGTCTGTAAACTAGAAAATGCTTATTTTTGGCCCCTTTTTCCTTAACTGTTGGTACCATAACCCCCAAAATCAATCCCCACCTTCCTTTTGTTGTATTGAACCTTATGGTAAAATTTCATAGAGATCCATTCACTTAAACTAAAGTTAGAGTGCGAAAACTAATGCATATTCGGACGACGACGCCGGACGACGACGACGACGCCAACGTCATACCAATATACGACCACAAAAATTTTTTTGCGGTCGTATAAAAATCTAAAAACACGGTTAGATTATGCATATCAAAGAACCCCAATAATTCAATTTTTGATGAAATCAAACAAAGTTTAATTTTAGACCCTTTTGACCTCAATATGAACCAATTTGATAGCGGGGCCCACAAATAAAAAATCTAAATACATGGTTAGATTCAGCATATCAAAGAACCTCATATATTCAATTTTTGTTGAAATCAAACAAAGTTTAATTTTGGACCCCAATTTGGACCAACTTGAAAACTGGGCCCATAATCAAAAATCTAAATACATTTTAAGATTCAGCATATCAAAGAACCCCATATATTCAATTTTTGTTGAAATCAAACAAAGTTTAAATACTGGACCCTATCTTGGACCAACTTGAAAACTGGGCCCATAATCAAAAATCTAAACACATGTTTAGATTCAGCATATCAAAGAACCCCAAGAATTCAATTTTTGTAAAAAATCAAACTAAGTTTAATTTTGGACCCTTTGGACCTTAATGTAGACCAATTTAAAAAACAGGACCCAAAATTAAAAATCTAAATACACGGTTAGATTTGGAATATCAAAGAACCCCAATAATTCAATTTTAGATGAAATCAAACAAAGTTTAATTTTGGACCCTTTTGACCTCAATATGAACCAATTTGATAACGGGGTCCACAAATAAAAAATCTAAATACATGGTTAGATTCAGCATATCAAAGAACCCCATATATTCAATTTTTGTTGAAATCAAACAAAGTTTAATTTTGGACCCCAATTTGGACCAACTTGAAAACTGGGCCAAAAATCAAAAATCTAAATACATGTTTAGATTCAGCATATCAAAGAACCTCATATATTCAATTTTTGCTAAAATCAAACAAAGTTTAATTTTGGACCCTTTGGACTTTAATGTAGACCAATTTGAAAACTGGACCCAAAATTAAAAATCTAAATACACTGTTAGATTCGGCATAACAAATAAATAAATGTGATCAAAGATTTTACAAATCTAATGCGCCATACTGTGCAATTAAAGATTACTTCTTGAAATTTTTCAATATTTGAAATTTGAAAAAAAAAATAATATTTGAAGAATAATTCTTTTTAATTTCTGAAATCTGAAATGAGAAAAAATTGACCCCCTACAATTTCTTTTTATCCCCCCCCCCCCCCCATTTTTTCCCCAAAAAAATTCTTTCCCTCAAGATATGGTCATAATCTCAATTCAAATTTCCAATGGAGTTGGCAACCATAATTACCCATTTAAATTTACCATAGTGCTAACTTAATCTATTTTATAATAGAATTTAAAATATAGTGTCAAATCTTTCATATGGATTTTTTTGTAAAAAAAAAAGATGCAACATTTGCAGATATTTTTACTGGTCTTCCTTTATAAATATGTATTTCTTTAAACATAATTTAAAAGCAGTGTAAGGGAAGTAACCAAAACGTTGTATTTGGATTACCTCCCTTACACTGTTTTAAATTATCTTTATTGTTCATTAACCATTACTTTATACATAATTTAAAAGCAATGTAAGGGAGATAATTTCAATGATGTATTTGATTTATCTCCCTTACACTGCTTTAAATTATGTTTTGTACTAAAGTATTTGTCCATTAACCAGGACAACCTTGTTTTTCCCCCTTTTTTGCCCCTAATTCCTAAACGGTTTGAGCCATAACCCCCCAAAGCAAATCCTAACCATCCCTTTGTGGTATGGAAACTTGTAGTATAATTTCAGAGAGATCCATACACCGTTCCACAGTTATTGTCTGGAAACTAGAAAATGCTTATTTTTGGCCCCTTTTTGGCCCCTAATTCCTTAACTGTTGGTACCATAACCCCCAAAATCAATCCCAACCTTCCTTTTGTGGTATTTAACCTTATGGTCAAATTTCAAAAAGATCCATTCACTTAAACTAAAGTTAGAGTGCGAAAACCAATGTGTCTTCGGACAACGACGCCGGACGACGACGACAATGACGACGACGCCAACGTCATACCAATATACGACCACAAAATTTTTTTGCGGTCGTATAAAAACGGGACCCAAAATTAAAAATCTAAATACACGGTTAGATTTGGAATATCAAAGAACCCCAATAATTCAATTTTTGATGAAATCAAACAAAGTTTAATTTTGGACCCTTTTGACCTCAATATGAACCAATTTGATAGCGGGGTCCACAAATAAAAAATCTAAATACATGGTTAGATTCAGCATATCAAAGAACCCCATATATAATTTTTGTTAAAATTAAACAAAGTTTAATTTTGGACCCTTTTGACCTCAATATGAACTAATTTGATAGCGGGGTCCACAAATAAAAAATCTAAATACATGGTTAGATTCAGCATATCAAAGAACCCCATATATTCAATTTTTGTTGAAATCAAAAAAAGTTTAATTTTGGACCCCAACTTGGACCAACTTGAAAACTGGGCCCCATTATCAAAAATCTAAACACATGTTTAGATTCAGCATATCAAAGAACCCCAAGAATTGAATTTTTGTTAAAATCAAACTAAGTTTAATTTTGGACCCTTTGGACCTTAATGTAGACCAATTTAAAAAACAGGACCCAAAATTAAAAATCTAAATACACGGTTAGATTTGGCATATCAAAGAACCCCAATTATTCAATTTTTGATGAAATCAAACGAAGTTTAATTTTGGACCCTTTTGACCTCAATATGAACCAATTTGATAGCGGGGTCCACAAATTAAAAATCTAAATACATGGTTAGATTCAGCATATCAAAGAACCCCATATATTCAATTTTGTTGAAATCAAACAAAGTTTAATTTTGGACCCCAATTTGGACCAACTTGAAAACTGGGCCAAAAATCAAAAATCTAAATACATGTTTAGATTCAGCATATCAAAGAACCCCATATATTCAATTTTTGTTAAAATCAAACAAAGTTTACTTTTGGACCCTTTTGATCTCAATATGAAGCAATTTGATAGCGGGGTCCACAAATAAAAAATCTAAGTACATGGTTAGATTCAGCATATCAAAAAACCCCATATATTCAATTTTTGTTGAAATCAAACAAAGTTTAATTTTGGACCCCAATAGGACCAACTTGAAAACTGGGCCAAAAATCAAAAATCTAAATACATGTTTAGATTCAGCATATCAAAGAACCCCATATATTCAATTTTTGTGAAAATCAAACAAAGTTTAATTTTGGACCCTTTGGACCTTAATGTAGACCAATTTGAAAACTGGACCCAAAATTAAAAATCTAAATACACGGTTAGATACGGCATAACAAATAAATAAATGTGGTCAAAGATTTTACAAATCTAATGCGCCATACTGTGCAATTAAAGATTACTTCTTGAAATTTTTCAATATTTGAAATTTGAAAAAAAAAAATATTTGAATAATAATTCTTTTTAATTTCTGAAGTCTGTAATGAGAAAAAATTGACCCCCCACAATTTCTTTTTACACCCCCCCCCCCCCTTTTTTCCCAAAAAAAATTCTTTCCCTCAAGATATGGTCATAATCTCAATCAAATTTCCAATGGAGTTCGCAACCATAATTACCCATTTAAATTTACCATAGTGCTAACTTAATCTATTTTATAATAGAATTTAAAATATAGTGTCAAATCTTTCATATGGATTTTTTTGTAAAAAAAAAGATGCAACATTTTCAGATATTTTTACTGGTCTTCCTTTATAAATATGAATTTCTTTAAACATAATTTAAAAGCAGTGTAAGGGAAGTAACCAAAACGTTGTATTTGGATTACCTCCCTTACACTGTTTTAAATTATCTTAATTGTTCATTCACCATTACTTTTTACTTGATTTATCTCCCTTACACTGCTTTAAATTATGTTTTTGTACTAAAGTATTTGTCCATTATCCAGGACAACCTTGTTTTTCCCCTTTTTTGCCCCTAATTCCTAAACGGTTTAAGCCATAACCCCCCAAAGCAAATCCTAACCATCCCTTTGTGCTATGGAAACTTGTAGTATAATTTCAGAGAGATCCATACACCGTTGCACAGTTATTGTCTGGAAACTAGAAAATGCTTATTTGTGGCCCCTTTTTGGCCCCTAATTCCTTAACTGATGGTACCATAACCCCCAAAATCAATCCCCACCTTCCTTTTGTGGAATTGAACCTTATGGTAAAATTTCAAAGAGATCCATTTACTTAAACTAAAGTTAGAGTGCGAAAAACCAATGTGTCTTCGGACAATGACGACGCCAACGTCATACCAATATACGACCGCAAAAAAACGAAAGTACAGTTTTTGACAACGTTATTTTGCACAAATAAAGTGTCTAAGGCAGATATAAGTACGCTGATGTTGCACACTTCGAACGATGCACTGCCAATTTAACAGTTTACGTCAGAACTTCGAATTTGAATCAAAGAAAGTTTAATATCGTTTTTTTTTAAATATCAATCATTGGGTATGGGATGGCCAACTCGGCAACTGATTACCATAATTGCCTTTTGTTTATTTAGTCTTAAGGGATTAAAATCGGGATAATATATAAAATGTCCGGGTGGCTAAAAATAATTTTGGAAGCCCTGCCAATGAACCATTAAAATGAGGTCAAGGTCAGATGACACCAGCTAGACAGACATGTACACCTTACAATCATTCCATACACCAAATATAGTTGACCTATTGCTTACAGTACTTGAAAAACAGACCAAAACACAAAAAATTAACAATGACCAATGAACCATGAAAATGAGGTCAAGGTCAGATGAAACCTACCAGTCAGACATGTACCCCTTACAATCATTCCATACACCACATATAGTTGACCTGCTACTTGTAGTATCTGAGAAACGGACCTAATCACGTAATTTTAACCTTGATCACTGATCCATGAATTGAGGTCGAGGTCAGGTGATCCCTGTCTGACGGACATGTAGACGTTGCAAGGAACCCATATACCAAATACAGTTATCCTATTACTCATAATAAGTGAGAAATTCACATGACAAAAAATTGTAATTTTTTTTCAAGCAGTCACTGAACCATGAAAATGAGGTCAAGGACAATGGGCATACGACAGAGAGAGGGAATCTGACATAAATGTATTATTTAACCAAAATTTGGTTACTTCTGGTACTTTCTATCATTTTTCAGATTTCTTCGTTACGTTTTCTCGTTTAGTAATGGAAAGAGGCAGAGGAGGGACAACATTTTGATACAACATGCAGATTTGTCTTATATTATAGATCGGTCGCATCACCTGAACATTTGAAATTTGTCAAATAGGATTAAATAAATAAGCAGTAGAATACAGAAGAAATAATTATACAATCTACATGTATAGATAATAAACAAATTTGGAAATGGTCTTTATTTGGTTGGAATACATGTATACATATTTATCCTCATAATGAACTTATTATTCCCAGGGGTTTATTTCGTACTTATTCGACATTTATTAAATACTCATTTAGTGATTTTGTTTTTTTTAATTTCAGTTTTTATTCAATACAAAATTATTAATATTGGACATAAGTGAAAACTTGCTTTAATTTCCTAGCATGCAAAAGAATACAGTTGATATAAAAACTTCAACAAATTGATCTTTTTCCATATTTGAAATTGATGAAGTGATGCTGAAATCTTGCATGATCTGATATGTTTCACTCCTCTGGGTGAAAGCCAAAATTAAACAAGAAATGATTGTAACAGGATGCTGTTACGAAGTCTCCCAAACGAAGCTCCCATAATTCGTAATTCCCAGTGTCGCCTGACATTTGACAAAGTCCAGTGAAAATTGGTTTGGTCCAGTAAAGTTAATGCATAAGTGATGCCTGGGGACTAACCCTGTATATCATTCAAATCATCTTGGCATGACAAACCAGAATATATATGGTTTAGGGGTGGGGATCTCGACCATTTACAAGATACTAGAACATTGGGGGTGGGGGGAAACCCAGTGGGGACTGACCGTATACGTCATTCAAATGTTCGAGACATGATGAACAGGAATATATATGGTTTAGTGGTGGGGATCTCGACCATTTACAAGATATTAGAACTTTCTCAAATGGCAGGAGGTCGTGATGACCCCTGGGGACTAACCCTGTATATCATTCAAACCATCTTGATATGACAAACCAGAATATATATGGTTTAGGGGTGGGGATCTTGACCACTTACAAGATACTAGAACTTTCTTAAATAGAAGGGGCTGGGGGTGACCCCTGGGGACTAATCCTGTATATCATTCAAACCATCTTCGCATGACAAACCAGAATATATATGGTTTAGGGGTGGGGATCTTGACCACTTACAAGATATTAGAACTTTCTTAAATGGCAGGGGGTGGGGGTGACCCCTGGGGACTAACCCTGTATTTCATTTGATGTGCTTTATCATGACAAACAAGAATATATATGGTTTAGGGGTGGGGATCTCGACCATTTACAAGATATTAAAACTTTGTCAAATGGCAGGGGGTCGGGATGACACCTGGGGACTAACCTTGTATATCATTCAAACCATCTTAGCATGACAAACCAGAATAAATATGGTTTAGGGGTGGGGATCTCGACCATTTACAAGATATTAGAACTTTCTCAAATGGCAGGGGGTCGGGATGACCCCTGGGGACTAACCCTGTATATCATTCAAACCATCTTAGCATGACAAACCAGAATATATATGGTTTAGGGGTGGGGATCTTGACCACTTACAAGATATTAGAACTTTCTTAAATGGCAGGGGGTGGGGGTGACCCCTGGGGACTAACCCTGTATTTCATTTGATGTGCTTTATCATGACAAACCAGAATATATATGGTTTAGGGGTGGGGATTTCGACCATTTACAAGATATTAGAACTTTCTCAAATGGCAGGGGGTCGGGATGACCCCTGGGGACTAACCCTGTATATCATTCAAACCATGTTAGCATGACAAACCAGAATATATATGGTTTAGGGGTGGGGATCTCGACCATTTTCAAGATATTAAAACTTTCTCAAATGGCAGGGGGTGGGGATGACCAATGGGGACTAACCCTGTATATCATTCAAACCATCTTAGCATGACAAACCAGAATATATATGGTTTAGGGGTGGGGATCTTGACCACTTACAAGGTATTAGAACTTTCTTAAATGGCAGGGGGTGGGGATGACCCCTGGGGACTAACCCTGTATTTCATTTAATGGGTTTTATCATTTAGAACATTTTCAATTAAAAAGATTGTGTCTATCACAAACGGTTTTCAATTTATAATCATTTGAAAATTTAAAAAAATAAAATCCCATAGGGTTCTATAGTAAAACCCCCTTTTCTTTTTGCCCCTCAAAGTACCCCTTTATAAACCCCATTGCACAAACAAAACCCTGATTGCACCACTAGACATGTTAGTCTAACATATTGTGAAACCCTAAGTTAATCTGACAAGCGGTTTTGGAGAACGGGTGCGGACAAGTTCAAATTTAAAAGCGGCGGAAGAGGAAGAGGAAGAGGAAGAGGAAGAAGAATAATAATAACAAGAAATGATTGTAACAGGATGCTGTTACGAAGTCTCCCAAACGAAGCTCCCATAATTCGTAATTCCCAGTGTCGCCTGACATTGGACAAAGTCCAGTGAAAATTGGTTTGGTCCAGTAAATTTAATGCATTAGTGATGCCTGGGGACTAACCCTGTATATCATTCAAATCATCTTGGCATGACAACCCAGAATATATATGGTTTAGGGGTGGGGATCTCGACCATTTACAAGATACTAGAACATTGGGGGTGGGGGGAACCCCTGGGGACTGACCCTATACATCATTCAAATGTTCGAGAAACGACGAACAGGAATATATATGGTCTAGGGGTGGGGATCTCAACCATTTACAAGATATTAGAACATTGGGGGTGGGGGGAACCTAGTGGGGACTGACCGTATACGTCATTCAAATGTTTGAGAAATGATGAACAGGAATATATATGGTTTAGGGGTGGGAATCTCGACCATTTACAAGATATTAGAACTTTCTCAAATGGAAGGAGGTCGGGATGACCCCTGGGGACTAACCCTGTATATCATTCAAACCATCTTGGTATGACAAACCAGAATATATATGGTTTAGGGGTGGGGATCTTGACCACTTACAAGATATTAGAACTTTCTTAAATAGCAGGGGGTGGGGGTGACCCCTGGGGACTAACCCTGTATATCATTCAAACCATCTTGGTATGACAAACCAGAATATATATGGTTTAGGGGTGGGGATCTTGACCACTTACAAGATATTAGAACTTTCTTAAATAGAAGGGGTTGGGGGTGACCCCTGGGGACTAATCCTGTATATCATTCAAACCATCTTCGCATGACAAACCAGAATATATATGGTTTAGGGGTAGGGATCTTGACCACTTACAAGATATTAGAACTTTCTTAAATAGAAAGGGCTGGGGGTGACCCCTGGGGACTAACCCTGTATTTCATTTGATGTGCTTTATCATGACAAACCAGAATATATATGGTTTAGGGGTGGGGATCTCGACCATTTACTAGATATTAGAACTTTCTCAAATGGCAGGAGGTCGGGATGACCCCTGGGGACTAACCCTATATATCATTCAAACCATCTTGGTATGACAAACCAGAATATATATGGTTTAGGGGTGGGGATCTTGACCACTTACAAGATATTAGAACTTTCTTAAATAGCAGGGGGTGGGGGTGACCCCTGGGGACTAACCCTGTGTATCATTCAAACCATCTTGGTATGACAAACCAGAATATATATGGTTTAGGGGTGGGGATCTTGACCACTTACAAGATATTAGAACTTTCTTAAATAGAAGGGGCTGGGGGTGACCCCTGGGGACTAACCCTGTATATCATTCAAACCAACTTCGCATGACAAACCAGAATATATATGGTTTAGGGGTGGGGATCTTGACCACTTACAAGATATTAGAACTTTCTCAAATGGCAGGGGGTCGGGATGACCCCTGGGGACTAACCCTGTATATCATTCAAACCATCTTAGCATGACAAACCAGAATATATATGGTTTAGGGGTGGGGATCTTGACCACTTACAAGATATTAGAACTTTCTTAAATGGCATGGGGTGGGGGTGACCCCTAGGGATTAACCCTGTATTTCATTTGATGTGCTTTATCATGACAAACCAGAATATATATGGTTTAGGGGTGGGGATCTCGACCATTTACAAGATATCAGAACTTTCTCAATTGGCAGGGGGTCGGGATGACCCCTGGGGACTAACCCTGTATATCATTCAAACCATCTTAGCATGACAAACCAGAATATATACGGTTTAGGGGTGGGGATCTCGACCATTTTCAAGATATTAGAACTTTCTCAAATGGCAGGGGGTCGGGATGACCCCTGGGGACTAACCCTGTATATCATTCAAACCATCTTAGCATGACAAACCAGAATATATATGGTTTAGGGGTGGGGATCTTGACCACTTACAAGGTATTAGAACTTTCATTAATGGCAGGGGGTGGGGATGACCCCTGGGGACTAACCCTGTATTTCATTTAATGGGTTTTATCATTTAGAACATTTTCAATTAAAAAGATTGTGTCTTTCACAAACGGTTTTCAATTTATAATCATTTGAAAATTTTAAAAAATAAAATCCCATAGGGTTCTATAGTAAAACCCTCTTTTCTTTTTGCCCCTCAAAGTACCCCTTTATAAACCCCATTGCACAAACAAAACCCTGATTGCACCACTAGACATGTTAGTCTAACATATTGTGAAACCCTAAGTTAATCTGACAAGCGGTTTTGGAGAACGGGTGCGGACAAGTTCAAATTTAAAAGCGGCGGAAGAGGAAGAGGAAGAGGAAGAAGAATAATAATAATAATAAGAACTGAGCAAAAACAATAAGTCTTCCCAAACTTCGTTTGGGAGACTTAATAATAAGAACTGAGCAAAAACAATAAGTCTTCCCAAACTTCGTTTGGGAGACTTAATAATGAAGAACCATAATTTAATCCATTTGCACTGTTCTCTGGTATTGACATGAAGGCTGTGTGTATGCCATGGTGACCTGCAGTTTTATTATCCTCATACTTAATTCTATGGTGGATACCACCACTCCTAATTTTAAATATAACAACTCGAACACACCTGCGAAATCGCGGGCATTTAGAGCGTGGTTGAAAGTGTGTAAACTGTAGTAGGATGAATTTTTGTAAAAGATTTTATGACTGGAGAATTTCAGGAAAGGTATCAAAAGTCATAGGTACTGCAACAGGACAATATTTTCTAGCCCGCTTCCTTTTTTTCCAAAGTCTGTTATTTTTTTGTTTTCTGTTAATTTCAATTATTTTCGCGTTTTCTGTATACTATGAACATACATAATTGTTTATCATAAATAAAGTGTATTTGCTATTTACTATCAATTCCAACTTTATCATCCACATCGGGCACTGATATATTATACAGAGAGTCTTTATATTTTATAGTAGTATGATCATAGTATAGATGCAGATAAACGCGAAAATAATTGTCCTGTCCCCGAGTACTTATGAAAATTATGTGTAATTTTAAAATAGTCCTAAACGGAAGTCTTGTCTATGACTTAAAAGTCCGTCCGATGACGGAAACAATATCTGGACGCCTTTATTTTCGTTTTTCTCCCAAAATAACCCAAACTGAATAATCATTAGAATAGATGACAAATGCGACTATGCATGGTACCTATAGGACACAGAGGCATGATGATTAATTTATTGTGGAAGGAAGAGAAGCGACAAACAAAATGAGGTCTTCTCATTTAATAGTATAGATGAAAGTATTATATTAAAAGAAACTCCAACAAATCAACTTTAAAAGTTAGTATTGCAGTGCTTCAAACTAGTAATTTACTTGACACTTGATTTATTTCTATTTGTACAGACTTTGTTTTGTAAATTATTGTCATTGACTTGTCCAAGACTGTCTAGAACTAAATAGTCCTGACGTTGCGCACGATGTAGGTACGAATTCCATTTTTGCTAAAGATTATCATAAATATAAATGCGTAGACTGGTCAGCTCGATAAAAATATAGTGATTTTTGGTTGATTTGAGTTTGATAGGCTTGCAAATAAAGATAAATTGGAACCAAAGATTAAAATACCAAAAATTATAACACTTAATTATCCCATTTTTACGCAAAAACATAATGTCCAACGTTACATTTTGTGGGCTAAGATCAGAGTTCCGTGTCTTTCATATTTTATTTTTTCTCAGATCGTCGTAAAATCTGCCAAGAATATTGCTTTTGTTATAGCTATTTGTATGTTAAAGCAAAATCAAGATCACTGAAACCGTTTACCGGAAAATGTTATGTTTGAAAACGGTTTGAAAAATGTCTAAGCATATGCAAGGTAAGCATATATCGGGTTCGTGCATTTATATCGCGAAATTGGAAAAGCTGAGAGGAAAAATATTTATATTTCATTTACTTTTTTCTTGGTTTATGATATTTTCTTGCTGGAAACATAAGTTTAGTCATTACTGCAATGACTTCAAAAAGTATAGCCATCTTGTCACAACGTGAAAAACGTTATATTTTTTTTACAATTGGGGTTTTGATCGGCTGTATATCAAATAAGCATGGTAAAATCATAGAAAATAACTAGAGGCTCTCAAGAGCCTGTGTCGCTCACCTGTATTTACTGATGCTTTGGAAATCATGTAAAATAAGGTTAAAATCATAATTAATAGTATTAGATATTAGATATTATAATGATATCTAAGATAATAACAAAAAACTGCAAAATTTTTGTATAATTACTAACTCAGGGGCAGCAACCCAACAACTGGTTGTCGGATTCGTCTGAAAATTTCAGGGCAGATAAATCTAAATCTGATAAACAATTTTGCCACCTGTCAGATTTGCTCTAAATGCTTAAGTTTCAGAGATATAAACCAAAAACTGCATTTTACCCCTATGTTCTATTTTTAACCAAGTCGGCCATGATGGTTGGAAGGCGGGGTCATCGGACAAATTTTTTAAACTAGATACCCTAATAATGATTATGGCCAAGTATGGTTAAATTTGTCTCAGTAGTTTCAGAGAAGAAGATTTTAGTAAAAGATTACAAAAATTTACAAAAAATTGTTAAAAATTGACTATTAAGGGCAATAACTCCTAAAGGGGTCGACTGACAATTTTGGTCATGACAACTTATTTGTAGATCTTACTTTTATTAATTATCTATCATAATATTCAAGATAATAACCAAAAACTGCAAAATTTCCTTAAAATTACCAATTCAGGGGCAGCAACCCAACAACAGGATGTCAGATTTGTCTGAAAATTTCAGGGCAGATAGATCTTGACCTGATAAACAGTTTTACCCTATTTCAGATTTACTCTAAATGCTTTGGTTTCAGAGATATAAGCCAAAATCTACATTTTACCCCTATGTTCTATTTTAAGCCATGGCGGCCATCTTGGTTGGTTGGCGGGGTCATAGGACACATTTTTTAAACTAGATACCCTAATGATGATTGTGGCCAAGTTTGGTTAAATTTTACACAGTGGTTTCAGAGGAGAAGATTTTTGTAAAAAGCTAATGACAACGACGACGACAATTTACAAAAATTTTTTAAAAATTGACTATTAAGGGCAATAACTCCTAAAGGGGTCGACTGACAATTTTGGTCATGACAACTTATTTGTAGATCTTACTTTTATTAATTATCTATAATAATATTCAAGATAATAACCAATAAAATGCTCCGCAGGGCGCAGCTTGATACGACCGCAGAGGTCGAACCCTGAACAGTTGGGGCAAGTATGGACACAACATTCAAGCTTGATACAGCTTTGCATTTGGATTGTGATTAAATATTTGACACAGCATAGGTTTCTGACACAGAATGAATGTGGTCTAAGAACTTAAAAATTTTATATTGGACATTCACCTATTATGGTCCAAAATCCAAAATCTAAATACATGGTTAGATTCAGCATATCAAAGAACCCCAAGAATTCAATTTTTGATGAAATCAAACAAAGTTTAATTTTGGACCCTTTTGACCTCAATGTGGACAAAGTTGATAACGGGGCCCAAAAATCAAAAATCTAAATACATGGTTAGATTAAGCATATCAAAGAACCCCAAATATTCAATTTTTGTTGAAATCAAACAAAGTTTAATTTTGGACCCCAACTTGGACAAACTTGAAAACTGGGCCCATAATCAAAAATCTAAATACATGTTTAGATTCAGCATATCAAAGAACCCTAAGAATTCAATTTTTGTTAAAATCAAACTAAGTTTAATTTTGGACCCTTTGGACCTTAATGTAGACCAATTTGAAAACGGAACCAAAAATTAAGAATCTCAATACACCGTTAGATTCAGCATATCAAAGAACCCCAATAATTCAATTTTTGATGAAATCAAACAAAGTTTAATTTTGGACCCTTTGGACCTCAATGTGGACCAATTTAAAAACGGGGCCCAAAATCCAAAAACTAAATACACGGTTAGATTCAGCATATTAAAGAACCCCAAGAATTCAAGAATAAAACCCAATTGAAATTGGTCAAGAAATAAGCAATTTATACGAAGTATCTTCTTTTGCACAATACTGTGCAATTAAATATTTCTTGCTATTGCGGAATACTGTACAAGTGACAATTTCTTGCTATTGCGCAATATTGTGCTATTGGATATTTCTTGCTATTGCGCAATACTGTGCAATTGAAGATTTCTTGCTATTGCGCAATACTGTGCAATTGAAGATTTCTTGCTATTGTGCAATACTGTGCAATTGAAAATTTCTTGCTATTGCAAAATACTTATTATATAATAATTTACACATCCTGTTTGGTGTGTATCTCCTACCATATTATTATTTGCTTTTAAATATAAATCAGAAATAACCAACTTAAAATGGAAAATTTTAAAAGAAAAAAAAATTTTTTTGAACCCCCTTATGAATCATCACCCCCAAACTCAATCCCAGCCTTCCCTTTGTGGTATGGTACCTTGCAGTACAATTTCAGAGAGATCCATACACTTGAACACAAGTTATTGTCTGGAAACTAGAAAAATTTGTAAGGGTTCCACGGAACCCAGTGTCTCGCCTACTTTTGCTGTTAATCGCAGGCTCAACAAAAATGAGGAAAAAAATAAATAAAAATATTCCTCTCTATACTATTTTTTGATTGTAAGTAGCTTCTGTCCAAGTTTGGTAAAAATCCAGGATAGTTTATGAATCTAATAAATGTTTTAAAAACTTAAACTGCAGACTGTATGTAATGTTAACTGGAAGAAAAACAAAGTCCATTTATAAGTAAAATACGGAAAAAATCAAACAAAATTTTAACAAAATTTCCTTCTAGATACTAGCTTTTAATCATAAACAAGCTTCTGTCCAAGTTTGGTACAAATCCAGGATAGTTTAAGAAAGTTGTTAAAATTTTAAAAACTTTAACCACTGAGTGAATGTAATGTTAACTGGCAGAAAAACTAAGTCCATTTATAAGTAAAATACGGAAAAAATGGATTTTTTTTTTACAAAATTTACTTCTGGATACTTTCTTATGATCATAAACAAGCTTCTGTCCATGTTTGGTAGAAATCCAGGATAGTTTAAGAAAGTTATTAAAATTTCAAAAACTTTAACCACAGAGTGAATGTAATGTTTCTTGGCAGAAAAACTAAGTCCATTTATAAGTAAAATAAGAAAAAAAAGGATTTTTTTTTTTACAAAATTTACTTCTGGATACTATCTTATGATCATAAACAAGCTTCTTTCCAAGTTTGGTAGAAATCCAGGATAGTTTAAGAAAGTTATTAAAATTTCAAAAACTTTAACCACAGAGTGAATGTAATGTTTCTTGGCAGAAAAACTAAGTCCATTTATAAGTAAAATACGGAAAAAATGGATTTTTTTTTTACAAAATTTACTTTTGAATATTATCTTATGATCATAAACAAGCTTCTGTCAAAGTTTGGTAGAAATCCAGGATAGTTTAAGAAAGTTATTAAAATTTCAAAAACTTTAACCACAGAGTGAATATTTGTGGACGCCGCCGCCGACGACGACAACAACGACGCCGACGGAATGTAGGATCGCTATGTCTCGCTTTTTCGACAAAAGTCGAAGGCTCGACAAAAATGCTTATTTTTGACCCCTTTTTGGCCCCCAATTCCTAAACATTTCGGCAATTACCCCCAAACTCAATTCCAGCTTTCCCTTTGTGATATGGAACCTTGTAGTACAATTTCAGAAAGATCCATACACTTACACACAAGTTATTGTCATGAAACTAGAAAAATGCTTGTTTTTTGCCCCTTTTTTTGCCCCTAATTCCTAAAATTTTGAGGCAATTACCCCCAAAATCAATCCCAGCATTCCTTTTGTGATATGGAACCTTGTGGTACAATGTCAGAAAGATCCATACACTAACACACAAGTTATGTCTGGAAGTTACAAAAATGCTTATTTTTGGCCCCTAATTCCTTTACTGTTGGTACCATAACCCCATAAATCAATCCCAACCTTCCTTTTGTGGTATTAAACCTTGTGGTAAAATTTCATAGAGATCCATTCACTTAAACTAAAGTTAGAATGCGAAAACCAATGTGTCTTCGGACGACGACGCCAACATCATACCAATATACGACCACAAAATTTTTTTTGCGGTCGTATAAAAACTGCAAAATTTCCTTAAAATTACCAATTCAGGGGCAGCAACCCAACAACAGGATGTCAGATTTATCTGAAAATTTCAGGGCAGATAGATCTTGACCTGATAATCAGTTTTACCCCTTTCATATTTACTCTAAATGCTTTGGTTTCAGAGATATAAGCCAAAATCTACATTATCCCCTATGTTCTATTTTTAGCCATGGCGGCCATCTTGGTTGGTTGTTGGGGTCATCGGACACATTTTTTAAACTAGATACCCTAATGATGATTGTGGCCAAGTTTGGTTAAAGTTGGCACAGTGGTTTCAGAGGAGAAGATTTTTGTAAAAAGCTAACGACAACGACGACGACGAAGGACGACGGACGACGGACGACAGACGCCAAGTGATGAGAAAAGCTCACTTGGCCCTACGGGCCAGGTGAGCTAAAAATTGGTGGGGAAAGTTCTTCAATTTTTCTTTTTAAAACTAAATAGTTTATTATGTTTTTCGTTAGGCAACAAGATTTTTAGATTGTATCAAAAAGTATAGCAGTTTTGTCACAACGTCTGCAAAACGTAATTGATGTCATGCTCGTGTTAAATTTATATTATAATTATTTGTTTCCAGTTTGATTCGAATAATAAATTGCTTCGCTGAGCACAGCTGGATACGACCGCAAAGGTCCAACCCTGAACAGTTGGGGCAAAAATGGACACAATATTCGCGCTTGATACAGGTCAGAATTTGGATTGTAATTAAATATCTGACACAAAATAGGTTTCTCACACAGAATTACTGTGGTCTATTTCAGATACAGGTCTGAATTTAAATTGTAATTAAATATTTGACACATTATAGGTTTCTGACACAGAATAAATGTAGTCAAAGAACTTGAAATTGGTTGTATGATTTGAATTTATATTCAATTGAAGATTTCTTGCTGTTGTGCAATACACTGTGCTGTTGCGCAATACTTAGTAAATCTGTTTTCAGATTATATACAAAGAATTAGCAAAATAAATTGTGACCCCCAATTTTTTTCTTTGGAAAATTGACAATTTCTTAAATCTTGAGGGGAAAAAAAATTGACCCCCCCCCCCCCAAAAATTTTTTTTAAATTTTTTTAACCCCCCTTTCCCCACCAAAAAAAATAATATTTGAAGAGAATTTTCTTTTGAGGAACGTTGTGGTACAATTTCAGAGCAATCTAAATACTTATACACAAGTTATTGTCCTGAAATTAGAAAAATGCTTGTTTTGGGCCCCTTTTAGGCCCCTAATTCCTAAACAGAGTTGGGACCATCAGCCCCAGAAACAATCCCAACCTTCCTTTTGTGGTATTGATCCTTTTGGTTAAATTTCATAGAGATCCATACACTTATTATATATTATATATAACAAAGTTATTGTCCGGAAACCAAATCTCTTTGGACGACGCCGACGAAGTGATACCAATATACGACCGCAAAAGTATAATAATTCAAACTGAATAAATTATATACAAATAGTTCTCTAATATTAGATATGATTCAACCACTAAAAAATAGTTTTCTAAATTAGATATGATGTTATATCTATTTTCAAATTATAATCAATAAAATTAGATATGATTTAACCACTAAAACATTGTTAGAATCAGTATATCAAAGAACCCCAAGAATTCATTTTTGGAAGAAATTAAACAAAATTTTAATTTAGGACCCTTTGGATCTCAATGTGGTATTTATAATCTAATTAATAATGAAAATAAATACAGGTTTAGATTCAGCTTTTCAAGAACCCTATATATATTCAACTTATGTTGAAATCAAACACAGTTTAATTTTGGACCCCGATTTGGACCAACTTGAAAACTGGGCCCAAAATCAGAAATCTAAATATATGTTTATTAATAGAATATAAGCTTAGTTTTTAAAGGAGTTTGCTTCATCAAAAAAATATATATAGCATTCAGAAAATTAGTTTATACAGAATAACAAAAAAACCTACCAAAAAATTCTTCAAACAATTTACCAAAGAAGAGAAAATAAAAATCCTAAATGTCATTTATCATTATTACAATGTCTTTTCAAAATCTATAAAACTTATCTGTAAGTGTAATTAAACTTTATATATATAATTAACCATTTCTGTTCAAAGGGATTCAACTCAATCACATAATAAGTACCACTTTTGGCTACTAGAAAGGGCTATAACTCAAAAAGGATAAAAAGCTAAATCGTTAAAATTGAACTTGACCTTCATTTAGTCACAGGAAACAACATATCTAAATTTGAAAAAATTTCGTCAAAGCGTTTTCATGTTAATGAACGGACACTGTTTGGCAGCCACCCACCCGCCTCCCCGCCATACATCCCCAAATCAATAACCGATTTTTTTCCTTAAAAAATCTGGTTAAAAATGAAAACAACAGGATTTTTCTGAATAATTGCATATAACATTTACCTTATACTGTGTTTCTGCTGGTGTTGGGGCATAAAATGGTGGCTGTCCAACGATCATTTCATATAAGATTACACCGACACTCCACCAATCACAGGATTCTGAGTAACCTTTCAAAAAAGCAAAAAAGTAATACCATTTAAAAAAAAGGTTCATATTCTGATATATTTTTGAAACAATTGATACCAATTCCACTTGAGTCGCTATAAGCGTTTGACTGTTTAAATTGCTATGAATGAAAGTATATTTGCATGTCAAGCAATGCTCCTATATATAGCATAATAGGTTTTTCTAGTACCTAAAGATACTTTGTTGAAAATGATCTCCCATTTAAGAATTCATTTACAGGTAAAAACTAATGTTTCTAAGGGGCATAACTCTTTTAAAAATAATTGATCAGCACTGATTTTCGAACTCGTCCAAGACATTGCTAATATAAACTTATGTTATAAGTTTTATAAAAATCTGACAAGAATTGTACACATGAGAGCGCTAATGATGCAATTTTCCACATAATATAAAATTGAGAATGGAAATGGGGAATATGTCAAAGAGACAACAACCCGACCAAAGAGCAGACAACAGCCGAAGGCCACCAATGGGTCTTCAACGCAGCGAGAAAATCCCGCACCCGGAGGTGGTCCTCAGCTGGCCCCTAAATACAATTGTGTACTAGTTCACTGAAAATGGACGTCACACCAAACTCCAAAACATACGAATGAACTAAAATTAAAAAACATACAAGAGTAACAAAGGCCAGAGGCTCCTGACTTGAGACGGGCGCAAAATTGCGGCGGGGTTAAACATGTTTTGTGAGATCTCAACCCTTCCCCTAGACCTCTAGCCAATGTAGAATAAAGAAACACATAGCAATACGCACAGTAAAACTCAGTTGAAAAGAAGTCCGAGTCCGATGTCAGAATAGGTAACAAAAGAAACTAAGCAAAATGACAAAGATACATAAATGAACAAAGGACTACTAGCAGTTACTGACATGCCAGCTCCAGACCTCAATTAAACTGATTGAAAGATTATGTCTTATAATTAATGTTTCCAAGGGGCATAACTCTTGCAAAAATAATTGATTGGCACAGATTTTTGAACTCAAGACCAAGACATTGCTGATATAAACCCATGATATAAATTGATAAAAATCTGGCAAGAACTGTACACGTGAGAGCGCTAACAAGATCGGACTGAAAGATGCACAGACGGACACCCGGTATTTCTATGTCCCCCACAATGCGTTGCGCGGGTGACAAAAAAGGGAATGGAGTGATGTTAAGGAATCCTGAAATTAAATTTTATGGACTGTTGTCTAGCTTTTACATTTGTGTTCGTTTGAGGATAGATTCAAATGGGTAATAATTGTCCCTCTGTTTGGCATGCCTGCATGTTACCACAGTAAAACTAAGGCTAGGGTTTTTTAATTTGTTGATTTTGTTCAATGATCAGAAGGAAAAAACTTATAAAATCCTCTTTTCATGCATTTTTCTTCTGACCAGCCTTTCAAGATACATTATTGATATATCTGAAATATAATTAGAAAATTTCAGCATAGAAGCAATCTCCTTCAAATTGTGTTTTATTTTACATTGCTTATCCATTAGGTTTTGCCCTTTCACAATACCATTTACAATAATATTTTTCCAAATTGCAGTTTGAATTTATTCCTACAATCTCATTAACAGGTTAAACAGTTTAGCTCTAAGAAAGTCAAATGTTGTTATTAGCAAGTTGCTGTGTGACAAAAGAAAGTATACTTACAATAGTGTAAAATTTTAATTCCACATCTTTATAGATGTACTTTTTGTAAGAAATATCAAATTGTAAAGTCTTCTGAAGGTCAGATGGCAATTTTTTAATTGCTATATAATTGTCAAGTTTTCGCACGTTTTCTATATTTTTAAAACACAAGATATCAACTTGAATTAAAACATGTAAAATTCATTAAAATATATGTGAATTAAATTATGCTGTCAATACGATTTCAAGGGAGATAATCTAATATCTATGAATAAATTATCAAGTGATTGGACTCTTATCTCCCTTTAAAACTTCAAGAAAACATATTCTAGAGAATAAATATATTTCTTTGAGTGTTTTAAATATTGATTTAAAGACAACTCTGTACTATCTACAGAACATTTTTAAAAAATATCTAAAGAGATTAATTTGAAAACGTTAAATTGGACATTATTATAGAAATTCAAATAAAATGCTTCGCTGGGGCACAGCTTGATACGACCGCAGAGGTCGAACCCTGAACAGTTGGGGCAAGTATGGACACAACATTCAAGCTTGATACAGCTCTGAATTTGGATTGTTATTAAATATTTGAAACAGCATAGGTTTCTGACACAGAAAGAATGTGGTCTAAGAACTTGAATTTTTTTAATTTACCTATTATGGTCCAATGTCTAAAATCAAAATACATGGTTAGATTCAGCATATCAAAGAACCCCATATATTCAATTTTTGTTAAAATCAAACAAAGTTTAATTTTGGACCCCAACTTGGACAAACTTGAAAACTGGGCCCATAATCAAAAATCTAAACACATGTTTAGATTCAGCATATCAAAGAACCCCAAGAATTCAATTTTTGCTAAAATCAAACTAAGTTTAATTTTGGACCCTTTGGACCTTAATGTAGACCAATTTAAAAAACGGGACTTAAAATTAAAAATCTAAATACACGGTTAGATTTGGAATATCAAAGAACCCCAATAATTCAATTTTTGATGAAATCAAACAAAGTTTAATTTTGGACCCTTTTGACCTCAATATGAACCAATTTGATGGCGGGGCCCACAAATAAAAAATCTAAATTCATGGTTAGATTCAGCATATCAAAGAACCCCATATATTCAATTTTTGTTGAAATCAAAAAAAGTTTAATTTTGGACCCCAACTTGGACCAACTTGAAAACTGGGCCCATAATCAAAAATCTCAACACATGTTTAGATTCAGCATATCAAAGAACCCAAAGAATTCATTTTTTGTTAAAATCAAACTAAGTTTAATTTTGGACCCTTTGGACCTCAATGAAGACCAATTTAAAAAACGGGACCCAAATTAAACATCTAAAAACACGGTTAGATTTGGAATATCAAAGAACCCCAATAATTCAATTTTTGATGAAATCAAACAAAGTTTAATTTTGGACCCTTTTGACCTCAATATGAACCAATTTGATAGCGGGGCCTACAAATAAAAAATCTAAATACATGGTTAGATTCAGCATATCAAAGAACCTCATATATTCAATTTTTGTTGAAATCAAACAAAGTTTAATTTTGGACCCCAAATTGGACCAACTTGAAAAATGGGCCCATAATCAAAAATCTAAATACATGTTTAGATTCAGCATATCAAAGAACCCCATATATTCAATTTTTGTTGAAATCAAACAAAGTTTAAATACTGGACCCTATCTTGGACCAACTTGAAAACTGGGCCCATAATCAAAAATCTAAACACATGTTTAGATTCAGCATATCAAAGAACCCCATATATTCAATTTTTGTTGAAATCAAACTAAGTTTAATTTTGGACCCTTTGGACCTTAATGTAGACCAATTTAAAAAACAGGACCCAAAATTAAAAATCTAAATACACGGTTAGATTTGGAATATCAAAGAGCCCCAATAATTCAATTTTAGATGAAATCAAACAAAGTTTAATTTTGGACCCTTTTGACCTCAATATGAACCAATTTGATAACGGGGTCCACAAATAAAAAATCTAAATACATGGTTAGATTCAGCATATCAAAGAACCCCATATATTCAATTTTTGTTGAAATCAAACAAAGTTTAATTTTGGACCCCAATTTGGACCAACTTGAAAACTGGGCCAAAAATCAAAAATCTAAATACAGGTATAGATTCAGCATATCAAAGAACCTCAAATATTCAATTTTTGCTAAAATCAAACAAAGTTTAATTTTGGACCCTTTGGACCTTAATGTAGACTATTTTGAAAACTGGACCCAAAATTAAAAATCTAAATACACTGTTAGATTCGGCATAACAAATAAATAAATGTGATCAAAGATTTAACAAATCTAATGCACCATACTGTGCAATTAAAGATTACTTCTTGAAATTTTTCAATATTTGAAATTTGAAAAAAAAATAATATTTGAAGAATAATTCTTTTTAATTTCTGAAATCTGAAATGAGAAAAAATTGACCCCCCACAATTTCTTTTTATCCCCCCCCCTTTTTTTCCCCAAAAAAATTCTTTCCCTCAAAATATGGTGATAATCTCAATTCAAATTTCCAATGGAGTTGGCAACCATAATTACCCATTTAAATTTACCATAGTGCTAACTTAATCTATTTTATAATAGAATTAAAAATATAGTGTCAAATCTTTCATATGGATTTTTTTGTAAAATAAAATGATGCAACATTTGCAGATATTTTTACTGGTCTTCCTTTATAAATATGTATTTCTTTAAACATAATTTAAAAGCAGTGTAAGGGAAGTAACCAAAACGTTGTATTTGGATTACCTCCCTTACACTGTTTTAAATTATCTTTATTGTTTATTAACCATTATTTTATACATAATTTAAAAGCAGTGTAAGGGAGATAATTTCAATGATGTATTTGATTTATCTCCCTTACACTGCTTTAAATTATGTTTTGTACTAAAGTATTTGTCCATTAACCAGGACAACCTTGTTTTTCCCCCTTTTTTGCCCCTAATTCCTAAACGGATTGAGCAATAACCCCCCAAAGTAAATCCTAACCATCCCTTTGTGGTATGGAAACTTGTAGTATAATTTCAGAGAGATCCATACAACGTTCCACAGTTATTGTCTGGAAACTAGAAAATGCTTATTTTTGGCCCCTTTTTGGCCCCTAATTCCTTAACTGTTGGTACCATAACCCCAAAATCAATCCCAACCTTCCTTTTGTGGTATTTAACCTTATGGTAAAATTTCAAAAAGATCCATTCACTTAAACTAAAGTTAGAGTGCGAAAACCAATGTGTCTTCGGACGACGACGACGCCAACATCATACCAATATACGACCACAAAATTGTTTTGCGGTAGTATAAAAATTACTATACTGTGAAAGTACTTTTATTCTCGTGGTTTGAGCAAAAGTTACATATTGGTGTGTTCTTAAATTCATGGATTTTAGTTGTCTGAAAATAATAATATGATGTTTTATAATGATTTGTGGGACATTGCAAAAAAAATGTGTTCATTTTCACTTTCTTGTTCGTCTTTCATTACTGACAACATTCATCAAATTTTTAATAAAATAATTGCTTTTTGAAATAAGCTGATTCGAATTCATCTATGCTTACAAATTGTCTGATGGAAGGAAATTGCAAAGTAAATATTTTAATTGTTGCATAGTGTAATCAGGAGTGATGACACTAATTAACCCGAGATCAAATGATTAACAGATTATTGATGGTCAAAGGTGTTAATTGGACAATAAACACTTAAAGATAACAAGTATGATTACACTATGCAACAATTAAAATGTTTAATATTTTGTGATGTACAGGGGTGAGAGTTTTAAATATAGATATCTGAGATAATAATTATCTTATACAATTAGGACAAGTTGCTTTCATTAAATAAACTGCTTCGCTGAGCGCAGCTGGATACGCCCGCAGAGGTCCAACCCTGAACAGTTGGGGCAAAAATGGACACAATATTCAAGCTTGTTACAGGTCTGAATTTGGATTGTATTAAATATTTGACATATTATAGGTTTCTGAATAAATATATTCAAAGAACTTGAAATTGGTTATATGAATTGAATTTATATTCAATTAAAGATTTTTTGCTGTTGTGCAATACACTGTGCTGTTGCACAATACTTAGTAAATCTGTTGTCAGAGTATAAACAATTAAAGTTCAATTAATTCTCAATGTCATATTAGAAATTTATGAAAATGTAAAGGGAGCTTACATCAATAGATATAAACAATTCACAAAAGTTTCATGAGAATTGCTGACAGCATTTTTGAGTTATTGTCTGAAAACTGGAAAATCCCCCCTTTTTTAATGAATAAAACCCCACAACTCAGAAATGTAAAATCTAAAATTTATAAAATTCTAAACGGAGCTTACATCAATAGATATAAACAATTCACCAAAGTTTCATAAGAACTGCCGAAAGCATTTTTGATTTTTTTCAGAAAACTGGAAAATCCCCCTTTTTTTATGAATAAAACCCCATAACTCGGAAACATAAAATCTAAAATTCATAAAAAACGAAAGGGAGCTCACGTCAATAGATATAAACAATTCACCAAAGTTTTATGCAAATTGGTTAAAGCGTTTTTGAGTTAATGTCCGACATGTTGACGACGGACGGACAGACAGACGGACAGATGGACAACAGTATACCATAATACGTCCGGTAAACGGGCGTATAAAAAAAGAAATGCTATCATAAACCTAAATGCCTGTTTGGAATGAAAGATCAGATAATTGTTTTATAAAAATGCATGATGTTACCTCATTTCTTTTTTAAACTGACATGGATTCTTAATGAAACTGATGTTCTATGTTGGACATAATTTTCTTGTTAAAGAAATAATTTCTCTCTCTCCCATCCCTCAGTCGCTTCCGATAGATAACATTACAACATGATAAATAAGAAGCAACCACTGTATGTTAATTCCTTTCTGATGTGCTATTTTGTGAATTAAAGGTAGGTTCCTGGCTGAAGTCGAAGTGTAACTGTGAAAATAGTCTTTGTTGTAAAGAAGTTTAATGAAATGAATCATGATTATTAGTTTTTGTAGCCAGTTTGAAAAAAGTTCAAAACCATAAGCTATATTCTTACTTGTTCATTTCATAACTTGTACTTTTGTAAATTAGCCAAACTATAATGAAGTTGTTGATTTGTTGTTTTTATACGAGTGTGTGACGACAGAGAGAAGCAGGAATAACTGTGCCATTTCAGTAAAGCTCATGTCTAGTACGCAATTAAATCATGTTTTTGCAATCCCATGTCTGTTGAATATGGATAATATTGATTTTAAGAAAAAATAATTTGTTACTAAGTTGTGCTATTTTTTCTTATGAATACAAACGTTTTTGTATATCATCTAATTTGTTATGATATCGTCGTATTTTGTCCCCAAAAACGCTCAATGCCTTTGTCAACTAGACCTCTTGATTCGCTTATGAATACAGATTGCCTCGACTCCTTGAAAACAAATTGACAGAATTCCCAGAAACTTGCACTGATTCTTCTTTAGGGTGGACAT